TCTCCAAAGTTTGTCATTGATATATCTGAGCCATTTAACAGGTTTGTAGTTTGCTGTGTCCAGTGCTATTTCCTCAAAATGCTACATGAATATGTTACTGACCACTGGAGATAAGAGAGTTCCCATTGCCATACCCTCTTTTTGCTAATAGAATTTATCCTCAAACTGGAAGTATGTGGTTGTTAAAACAACTGTCCAGTAGTTCCATCACATGAGCAAAGGTGAGCGTTCTAAGAAGGATCCATACTGATTCTATCTTATAAGAAGGACAGTTTTGTGTCTGGTAAGGAGTTTCTGTATCTTCTTCTTAATTTGAGACACAGGATACTTACACAGAATTTCATACACCCTTGACTATAGCAGACTGGATATCTTCTCCTTGTAAGTGAACCTGTTCAACACCATTGTGTAATTTCCCTTGTCAGCTTGCTGAATTTGTGTTTGCTTGCTGTTTTTTAGGGATTTTAATGCCATCGATTCCCTCATCAAGGGAAGGGGGAATGGGTGATACATCAATGCAATAGAATGCTGAAATGTAATATTATGAACAGCCTATGTACTGCCTCACTGTACTCCCATTTTTTCTAGTATCCGACAAATACAAAAAATGTGATCAGTTTTCTATCTGGTATGTTGAAACCCACACTCATGATCCCCAGTAATTTTGTCTTCACAAGGACTTAACATTCAGAGACGGATGTTGGATAAAAATTTGTTAAGACTTGATAACAGTGATATTCCACAATAATTGCTACAGCCAGTTTTATCAGCCATCTTGTAAACTGGTACAGTAATAGACTGCTTCCAATGATTGGGTAATTCTTCCTTATTCCAAACGGAATTAATGAGTTTATGGATCTCAGACTAATATTTCACCTCATGCTTGAATCAGTTCTGCTGGAATTTGCTCACTACCTAGCACTTTATAGTTTTTCAACATTTTAAAAGCAATTTTAATCTCAATAATAATTTCTTGTAAACATAAAAGAGATTTATATATACAAATACAGAATAATAATAAACCCATCGCTATAGCCCATTACATTACCACCATTACTGATGGCGGTTATAAAAAAAGCAAAACAAATGGAATATGACAAATTAATTCTAAATTCCCATAATAAAATCAAAACTACATGGAATATTATTAATACAGAATCTGGAAGAAATAAAAATAGAAATGACATACAAGCTTTAAACATAGAAGGTAAGAAAATCATTGATCACCAATCTGTTGCTGAAACTTTTAACGAGTATTTCGTCACTATCGCTGGAAAATTTAGAAGACAAATTAGAAATACTCATAGGCATGTTAATAATAATGATGTGGACAATCATATTCATTATTTTCTGTAATCTGAAGGATTTATTTACTCTTTGTAACTCATAATTAGTTTATTGTGGATTTCTTATTTAATATGACTGTTCTTAAATGACACGTTTCTGACTTTTTATTTATGTAATCTAAGGCCTTAACTATTTATATTTTATACTGTTGTCATGTTCCACGTACACATATTTTGTAATTGGTCTGTATGTACTGATTGAGGACAAGTTCTGTATCCATCTTGTGGATGTCTGGAATACTGAATAAATACTGTGACATGTTGCGCAACGGAGAACCCCCCCACCAGCAGTGACGCGGCGGGTGAGTCGGCGCTCCCCTCCCCCGCCTCCGCACAGTAACGTAACGCGCGGTGACGTAACAGGATGATGTGGCACTCATTACGCAACAGGCAAGCACTGCGGCTATATAAGGGAACTGCACAGCGGCTGCGAGTCAGTTGTAATGTGGCTACCACAGAGTTAAGTAGTAGACGAGCGAGTGTGTTATCAACAGTTCTCCATTCAGCCGACTATAGTTGGAGTATAGCAGCCATCGCGGAAAGAAGAACCGGATGTGCGTGTAATTGTGTAATTGGGAGTGTGTGTGATACAGTGATACATAGCTCCCCTACTGTAAACGTGTAGACTACTGAAGACAGAGTGAACTGATTTGCGCATAGGGTTATAAATCGTGAAACCCCGCAACAGTGTTAACAGATTAATGCGATTAGGGTTATAAAGTGTGAAACCCCGCAACTGTGTGATAAGTAATTGTAGCTGTTACTTGTAGATTGTTAAATAAACCAATTAACCACCTCTACGGCGTATTCAGTAAGGAAACACATCATAATACTAATACTAATAATAATACTAATACAAAAGAATTAGGCTCAGGTACTAATCGCTCAACTGTACGTATTTCTATCTTCCAAACATCACTGATCCTATATATGAAGGGCATTCCATATATAATGCCTCCTATTTTTTTGTGTTAATACATAACGTCTGAGCTGGATGTTGGTGGTGTTGTAGTAAAGGTTGAACCTTCCCGCCAATGTACTTTCAGTTTGGTTGTCGGATGACAGATAGCAACAGCAGAGCAGTCTACCAAATTGGCGTCCGACATAGAAGTGTATAAGAAACAGAGATGTGTTATTGAGTTTCTCACTGTCGAACAAATTGCACCCATTGGCATCCATCGACACTTGCTAAAGGTGTACGGTGATGATACAGTGGATGTCAGCACAGTGAGGCTGTAGATAGTGTGTTTCAACAGTGGTGAAAGTGAAGTGCATGACAAGCCATGCCCTGGGCGTCCCTGCTCAGCTGTCACTCCTCACAATGAACAGCACCTCCATCAGCTCACCCGTAGAGATCGGCAGAGAATGACCAGGGAACTGTGCGCATGGCTTAATATCGGCTGTAATGCATTGGAAATGATGTTGGTGAAGCTGGATTATCGCAAAGTTTGTTCCAGGTGGGTCCTGCAGATGCTTACACAGGACTACAAAACTCATCAAATGGAAGTCTGTCAGGACCTGTTGCACCAGTTTGTGGCTGAAGGTGACAAGTTTCTGGACAGCATCGTCACCGGAGATGAGACATGGTGTCACCACTATGAGCCAGAATCCAAAAGACAGTCCATGGAGTTGCGACATCCGGATTCCCCAAGAAAAAAAGCAGTTCAAGACACAGTCATCAGCAGGGAAAGTGATGTACACAGTCTTTTGGGATAGGTGTGATTTTGTTGGATTTCCTGCAGCCTGGTGAGATTGTCAACTCTGAATGCTACAAGACAACGGTGACTAAGCTGAAAGCCCGCATTTCCCGAGTCAGGCCAAAGAAGCAGACAACCTTTCACAAGCAGCATGATAACACTAGACCCCATACCAGTTTGGCAACCACCGTGCACATTGCAAAGTTTGGCTGGACTGCCCTACCACATCCACCTTATAGCCCCGATTTATCACCTTCAGACTTCCATCTCTTTAGGCCTATGAAAGATAGACTATGTGGGCAACATTTTCCAGACAACAATTCTGTCATTGCAGCTGTAAGAAAGTGGCTGCTGGCACAGACTTTTACAGGCACAGCATACAGACTCTTGTTTATCGCTGGCAAAAGTGCATAATGAATGGTGGTGATTATGTGGAAAAATAACTGTAAGTAGCTGAAATCTTGCTCTATTTAACTGTGTTATTTTAATTTCTGTATCTGTTGTAGTTTTTATTAAAAAAATAGGAGGCATTATATATGGAATGCTCCTCGTACTTTCAATAACTGAGAGAAGTAGTTCTTCCACCTATTCAAAATGTTGTGGGAATCTGCAAGCAGATCACCATTGTCATACTTCACTCAATTACTTCCAGGTTGTTAACCCCTCTTAAATTCATCTATTCCTCTATGTTCCTGTTCTTACCAATCATTGCAAGCTCATTAATTTTGTCTTTCAGATATTCCACCTTTTTAGTCCTTAAATGCCTGCTGGCTTCACATCCTATATTGTTCAGATTTTCCCCATTTATTTCACTTGGTTCCTGTAAGCACTCCAATTCTGCATGTTTTCTTTGATCAAATAATTTACACCATGCATCATGAAACTATGGCACATGCTTCAATTCATAATAATCTAGACTCTCTTTGGCTCAAATTTCAAAATTCTCTCTAAGAGTTTCACAAGCTCTATCAATATTCACTTCAGAGTCTAAGTTTTCCACATCTACAAACCTATTTGAGATTTACATCTGATACTACTCTTTACCCTCTGTCATTCAATTTCTTGAGAATGAACCTCTCCATGTGAAATCTGTGCATCATTTATTTACTCACTGCCAATTTTTCCCTAATATTTGCCACCACCAGACAGTTGGCATTATCACAATCTTCTCTCTTGAAAAACTGGACATCAAGTAAACTTGAATGCCGTTTCCTATCTATCAAAATGTGGTTGATATGACTGTGAGTCTTTCCATCAGGACATATCCAAAATGTGGGAACATTACACTTCTGACAGATTTTTGAATGTGGCAAAGATTACTAATCTAACACCATTATTATTACTAATTTCATATAAACTCTCATTTCCATTGTTGGTTTGAAAATTTATTCCCTACCTAATTTGGCACTGAAATCTCTGAACAGAATTTTCATATTACATTGAGAGAATTTATCAAATACACGTTCTAGTTTCTCATAGAAGCTGCACTACATATCATCAATTTTATCCCCTGTTGGGGTATGAACATTCAGAACAATATCACGCCAGCAACCTCTGAGTATTATGTACAACACCCCATCACTAACTCTGCCACCTTAACTGCTGAGACAGTTCTCTTACATACAAAAAACTTACATTTTTACATTTAATGAGTAAACTTATCTTAGCACGTGCAAGCTAAGTTTCAAAATAATGTTGTATTGCATAAAAAGACATGTTATGTCTATTTTATAACTTCCCTAAACATGTTTTCAGTAGCACGTCTATATAATTCCTACTTTCACTAACTTGGACAAGGGTTCATTCCCATTTAGCATAAATTAGTGAGGTCTTAATGCATATCATTTCTAAAGGAAGAAATAACTGAAATTAATAAGGATGAATATCTAATGGCTGAACAGCAAAATAATGATTTAAATTTCTGCATCATTGCTTAGAAATGAGAATTACCTCTTACCTGAGACTTGGCATGCTTTTTCCTTTAACCAAATTGCTTGAGTGATTTTCTTTATCTTGGTCAAATTTCGGCTCAAAGATCTTGGCAAATGCAGAACAAGGACGTGAAAGATGTTCATCCCCTGTGTCAAGGCTGCGATGGTACTCCTGTAAGCAGTATTAAAACAGAAAATATTGATGACTAATTCCTTCATGATTAACTGACACTCAGAAATCGCCAACTTTTATGGGTCAAGGAACTTCATTAATTTGGTTTCAGGTCTTCAGTTTTAAAAAAATTATACATGTGTATAAAATATGCATAGTTCATAACATTATATAGGGAACATTGTATCTGATTCAAGATTTACAACATCATTTCTCATTTTAGCCTTTAACGTCTGAAGTGGCCCGATCGGGCCAGTGATGAGTATGATCATCGTGGCTAAAGTACCCCGTTTTGGCCAGTCAAGCATTTAAACTCTGCTAGTGGAAGCGCATGCACATGCCACTAGTAGAAGCACATGTACAGTCCTAAATATTTATTTTTACATGTAATAATTACCAGACAGACTTGAGTATAACCATAATAGAGGAAGTAGTAAAATGATACCTAAGTGAACAACAGCAAAAAAAAAGAATATATATGTATGAGTCATGCCCACACTCATCCACGAGCCAGTACTTGTATTGCAGATTCTGCAGATTAATGTGTTAAAAATATACAGTAAAATTCAATGTACATAGCTTTTTTGTTGTTATCTGCTTGATGTATATATAGGCTGAAATGACACTACAGTATTCAATTTCACTATGAACGCACAGAAAACAGATCACACTCTGCATCTCAGCCATGATGCAACTGTCTGTTCACAACCCTAGAAAGGGCAATAATCTCTTGCAGCTATAACAGAAAGTCTTAACACTGAAGAAGGGACCCCTCTAGCTTTCTCTTGAATAGCCATTCTTTCATTCTTCTGTCCTTTAGTCAAAAGATTCGAAAATCTGAAGCGTGTAAGCAGTGCTAGCAGAAGACCAAATGATTTGATTGCTTCCATCTGTTTATAACACCAGGGACTGCTAAAATTTGTCAAGTGTTACAAAGAGAAATGAATTTAAAATGCAGAACAACTCTGTGAAGAACGGGGAAACCATTTTTGCAGTACGCATCAAAATGAAAAGAAAAAATTGAAAATAGACTAGAACTCTTTCTATAAAAATTTTCAAATCTTCCGTTATAATACGCGACACTATGTTCTTTGCTCATACAAAGAAAGTTAATTCCATCAATTTATCATAAAAATTGAGTTACATACAGCATTTTTAAAGACAATGCTTAGAACTGTTTAAGCGCCCTAACAGGAACAGACATTTAAATGCAGAGTAGGAACGGGCATTTAAACACGCATCAGCAGCAGGCATTTAAATAAACTCCGGCCAGCTCAGGCTTACTACCATTTCAGAAGTCCAGCATTTAAAGGTTAAAGTATATTCCATGAAATACTACAAATAAATTACAAATCCATCATCAATGGATATATACTTCAACATTAACACTTTCTGTCATTAACTTGTGCCAGAGAATAGAGCACATGAAAATTATTAAAAAAATGTGACTTTAATATTTAAATGTCACTTTTCCACCCCTGACAATTAACTTCTTTCTGATAAGCTGGGTCTGAAAAGTTCTAATGGCATATAAGGGACCGGTAATATGCCCATCGATTCATGATTAACCTTTAGATGCTGGACTTTTGAAATGGTGGTAGCTTGAGCTGGCCAGAGTTTATTTAAATGCCTGCTGCTGGTGCACATTTAAGTACCGTAAAAATAGTTTCCTACTTCTTCACATAATACTTCTGCATTATAAAATAATTTCTGCTTGTAACACTTGAAATATTTTCACATTCTCTGGTGCCATAAAAAGTTGGAAGCATTAAATTCATTTGGTTCTCTGCTGGCAAGTTTTACATCTTTGTTACACTCTTCAGAATTTCCAGTCTTTTGGCTGTGTGTTCACAGCGAATTTGAATATTGTAATTTCATTTTATCATACAATGGCAATGAATCGTTGTTTGGAAGATTATGTAATTGAAAGGTAGTTGAAATGCAAGATATGTGATGTGGGACTGTGCTTTCTCGGGTGCTTCGAGAAGTATTACAGAAAGGCGAGATTCAGTTATAAGACGCGGAGCTTGAAACCTGTATATATCTGGAGTAGATAACAACAAAAATGTATGTGTATTGAATTGAAAATAAATATTAGGATTGTGCATAAACTTCTACTAATGGCATGTGCACAAGCTTCCACTAGCAGTGTTTAAATGTCTGAATGCACAAATGTGCGTACTTCGGCTATGATGACCATACTCATCATTGTACTGGTTGGTGCACAATGGGCACTGAAGGGTAACTTGTATGTCACTATATTGTAATGGATTTGAGCAACGCGTTGCCAGGCAACAGCTCTGAAAACATGGTCCAATGCACAACGATAGAGGAAGCAGTCTTTTCCGTGTCTTCAGGGAAGTCACACAATGGTAGGCAGTGATCATGTAACATGCGTCTTGAGTTTGCATGTCTGTTCTGTGGCTATGTATGTAAGAGTCCAGGTGGTTTCACAGCAGTTATGAGTGAGTAGTACTGGCAGAAGCACACAAAGAAGAGGATACCAGTAAGCTGGAGGAGCACAGCAAGCAAGCAGTAAGCTTGAAGAGTGCAGAAGAGTACAAGAAGTCAGCCTGTGAAAATTTAACATGTGATTTGAAGATTTTATGTGTTATAGGGCAGTGGTATTGGGAGTGTATGATTTAGGGAGACTTTTACTGTAGTCCTTGTGTTATAAGTCCATGAAGACTGGTGGAGACATACTGAAGAGATTAGCATGGAGTGCTTTCTAGTGTGAACATGAGTAACATTGTTATAATAATTTGTAGTTTCAACCTGTAAGGAACGAATAAATCCAATTATCCAACTGAGCCACATCTTTAGTCACTATGTCATGTGACTATATGTTCACATGTTTCCTAGGTAATGAGACAAGAAAATTTACATGGGTTTCAGTTTTCATGAATATTTATTGGACAATCACTCTTTACACTCACAAATACAATTATTCACACTTATACTATGTCTTCGGACGTTTCTTCTTCAATGTTACAACACTCTTGCACCACTAATCTCGGTGAAGTGTCTTCTGCTCTGCTCAGAGCTCAACTGTCCCTAGATCTAGTCGGATAAAAACTCTTATCTCCTGCACTCGGACTGAATAGGGAACACCTTGTCGAAGGGTTAATTTCGCTCACTGCTATGCAATGAATCTCTTGTTGCCATTCGTAAACAACTGTGGCAACCCCACTGTTTGACTTTCATCTTCAGGTCAACGATTTCCTAGGAATCGCTGCTTATGACTTGCTAATCATTGACTAGTGATGAACGTCTTATAGTCTGGCTTTCAGGCAACACGTCGCAATACGTTATTAACTTCTAGTCCCCATATCAGTCACAAAAGAAACAGACATTTATTTCTATCTACTAGAAATAAACTTCAAGAGCAGTGAAGAAGGTGAATTAACAAAGAACGCCTTTGGAAGTACAGAGTGGTTCTTACCGCCATTGTTACTGCCTGCCAGCAAGCAGAATCTCTGAAACAAAAGAATCTGCAGGCTTCTGCATGACCTAGGATTCCACCAGCACTCACAACAGCTCTGCACTACAACCACTTTATTTACCATGATAACACAATAGCTGTTGAAAAATATGTCCCTAGACATCCTCGCATATTTTGCAGTGACACAACTTTTATGAAACATGCTGAAGTTCACCTTTCATGATTTCTGAAGTTATTGTCTGGGTTTTCAACTCCAAAGCCTCCAAAGAACATACATTATTATTTCTAGAAGCTTCCCGCTTCAAATCTCCCAAGGGATAAAAATTACACAATTTCAGACCTGAATATGACAGCCACAGATTTCTATCAATTTTTCTTTTGACAAGCAATGTTCATAAAGCCCATGGTAAATTTTCTGTTTTTCTACTCAAGGATTATTCTGATAAAAATATATGTAACTCCCATTTCTTTAACTGATTCAAAATATTGTTTGTGTATTGCTCAGGCTTAAACTGTGGCACATACAAGTACAGAGTCAATTATTTTTTTATGCTGTATGAAATTTAGGTCCACCAGCTGATAACTGCAGACACACCTTACATTTTAATTTTGCACCTGTCATCCCACCAGTCACGGTAGCCGAGCGGCCTAAGGCATGTACTATCTTCGCTTGCTTGGAAACCGGGATCGTGGGTTCGAATCCCACTCAGGACATGGATGTTTAGTTTGTGTGTGTGCGTTTTTCTGTTTGTGTACAGGTAGAGGCCGTCCAATGAGCTGATCACCCGCAGAAGGAGTCCACCTGAATATGTAAGATCTAGAAAAACCGAAGTGAACCGAGAAGTTCATGGAGGTAGGCCTAGGCCCACTGGGGCTGTAGTGCCAAAGAAAAAAAAAAAGAAAAACCTGTCATCCCAGGTAAAGTTAAAGTTCTACTTGTGCTTAATTGGTTAAGCACTATGCCATGAAGATATATGGGGGAGTAGAATTATAGCTACACCTTTCTTGACCTCAGCACTACAGGGCAGTGAAAGTTAAGCACCATGCCCCTGCCACTTTACCTCTTGGATAAAAGGCCCCAGTACCCAATGGATAGGAGGCTCAGTAAATGTGAAATTTTCATGGAGAGCTGAGCCATTTCCTGAGCTTGACTGTAATTAAATATATAAATTACTGTAAGTTTAATCTCACCCACTGTCCGGGACCCATTCTCCAATGGGTGAAATTGTTTAAAATTTCTAAAAGTAAAATGTATATTGTTATTTCATTATCAGAGTAGTGAGGGACTTGTAATGACATGAAGTATAAGTTGATTTCACTTGGGCAGCTGTCCTATTGGAAAGATAGAAAGCAAAGAATTCTTGTGAAGGTTACTGGCTCCTTGTAATGACATAAAGTATAAGCTGATTGTAGTTAGGCAGCTGTCTCATCTAAACATAAAATTCAAAGAATTCTTGTAAAGGAAAGTGGCTCGTGTAGATGTGAGGTCTCTGTCAGTTGCTACAAATTGTTAAGTACTATAATTAAGTTAACTTCTGTGTGCATAAATCCATTCTATGGGTAGCTACTGACTGAAGATATATTCAGTGTCAAGTTATTATTATTACCTGTATTACCTGTTTTTATTTGATAAAATTTATTAAACACTCTCTTGCACCAGTGCATAATTTGTTCTGATGGGAGAATGAATCTGCATCATGCGGCACCTGTTCAATCCTTCAGATCTATTATCCTCTCCTTAAAATGTCACATTTCTTTACTCTTCTGTGGAGCTGATATCTTCAACAATTCTACCTAACCTAGCTTGAACTCCATACACCCACTTTCCTCCCATTGCACACCTCAGCCACAAACATGAATTATTCATTCCCCTTCAGTCACATTGCAATCCAATACCCCACATAACTACTGGATCCAGGTGGGAGAAGAAAACCAAGTATGGTCGAGCTGGGCTGGGAATAGAATGCAGCTGTGGAAGATGGTGTAAGTAAGTACTGCCTCCCACAATTACAGGAATGAGGTTGTTGTAGTTGTGTCTGTTCTGTGAGTTCATATAACCACTCAAATGAAACCAGACTTTAAATTTAAATGCAACCACTTCACATACTAGCATGTTTCTTGCAAAATAAAAGGTATTGTGAACTGAGAGGCTGATATATCTACTGTAGAATAAATTACAAAGACAAAAATAACACCGTCTAATAAATTATGCAAAGGTAAATATATTCCATACTACATACAATATTAAAAAAACTTTCAGCAATACCTGTCCACAAAATATTTTTGGCTCATCACGACCAATTTTCTCCAAAGTTTTCTCTGATTTAGAAAGAAGTTTTGTTTCAACAAATGCTTTGAGATCAGCCATTTTCATTTTCTTTTTCACTTTTTCACTCGAACGTCTCATATGACTACTATGATCATCCAGTTGTTTCTGTCCAAAGTATGGAGATTCTGGAAGAAATAAATGATGATTATTATTATCCTAGTACCAAAGGAGAATGTTCTCTTGTTATGGCAATACTGTTGTTGTGCTTAACTACACATCACACCAACATGAAGATGTATGTGGAAGCATAAGTTGCTGCTCTAAATTTTTCAGAACGTCTCCCTTATGGAAAATGAAATGTAACTAATGTTTCAACACAGGAAAAAAAGGCACTACAGTTTCAGAAAATATTATTGTCATACATCATGCCATAATCTAATTTAAAGTTGTCTTATCATGATCTAAATGTTGGCATTGTTTTAGACAGAGGAAGTAATAGGGAAATACATAGTTCTGCACTACATAACAACAAGAAAACAACATTACACAGACCACAGTTCAAAGCATCAAGAAATTATAGGACAGCACACATCCGAGAAATCAGATAGAAGACACAACAGACACAAGAATATCACCTAAAAGAATCCTATGAAAGAACTTACCACATAAAAACACAATACTACTATATTGTCATACAGGATAGTGAAGTGTACCTCACTTCTCACAGTTTGAAAATATTTCGAGTCAACACTCCAATACAATGACTTGCAATGAGTACCATTACACATGCTATACCACATATGCAACAATGATGAGAAACCACATTGTTCCTGTATGTTACTTTAATGTTACTTTTACACTTTAGTAAAATTTTATTAATAACGTTAGCAAAATAGAACAAGAAACTGAACAACATATAAACATGAATATGCTCCACCAGTACGCTTATACATATCTTGCCCACATTCTCGCACAGTACAGTACATTTAAATTAACTTTATTGCCGCACATTTATACATATATTTCACTATTTGACCGTATTGTGACATGTAGACTCATTACTGGGCAATGACTAAGCAAACACATTTCCATGATCACATATATGCAGGCAAAAATCAGATAACTTCCATTTCTATGCAACAGCACTCTAAATACAACACAGGAAGAGGTATTTTCCATGTTGCTCACGTACATCCATTGCAGGGTAACGGATGTGTTTTCTATGGGTGGTAGTACAGAAGGGAATCAAACTCAGAGATAACATAAACAAGAATGGAGCAAGTCCTCAGCAGTCAAGGAAGAAGGGTTCGGCTCAAGATTGACTCTGAGTTATTGTAATTGATTGTGATTACAAGTTATTGTAAAAGAAGCTGTCAATATAAAATCATCCAATCTAAAACCGGTTAGTATTAGTCACACAGCCATAAACTCATGACAGTATGATGGATATCCTATTTGATAATGACTATGAACAAGAAAGCAAAGTTTTATTAGAATGTGTGGTGTGACAATTCAGATGATGGATGTTTAAGTGTGTATACCACCTGAAGATGACCAAAAAATAGGATCGAACATGTAGTGGGTTTGAATAAATACTGTCACATGTTAGTGACTAGACATGGGGATGCATTGCTAATTGGATTTATTGGAATTATATAACTTGTAATTACAAGAATTTATGACACTCACTCATTCACGTCAGTTTTTAATGCAACTTGAAACCCTTCACAGTCTCTCAATTTTAAATGACATTAAAATCACGTTAATTGCTACATGTTTTGGCCCTTCTTGGCTATCTTCATGCAACTGTTCCCTTCCTGAAACTGTTGCACTGCACTAGATCGTCAGTCAATGTGTTCCCATGTTGTTGCATATCGTTGTTCACATTAAAATTTCTTTGCTAGAGAATAAAGCTGTCTCTCCATTCTGCATTATTTTCCTCTTGTGGCGTCCATGTTTTTTGTAATGTATAATGTATGAGTATGTTTACTGTCAATGCAAAGGTGTGTCATTATTTTATGGATTTGGTATTTGTTGTAAGAGTACTTATTTGCCCCCTTCCTATGTATGTTCTCACTACTTGGGCATAGGTCCCTTCTATTGACATTCAGTGTGATTGTTCCTGCTTATCTATCTTTTCTTGAGGTGTGTGCGCTAATATCTGTCGTAAAGTTCATGCAATGTCTGAAATATGGGGTTTTATGTGACAATGTACATGCTGTTCATATGCAAGTTATTCCTATTGATTTTATAAATGTGATATTTTTCCAAGGTATTCAAATGTCTGTCCCTTCTTCCTGTCCTTATGACATCCATGGTATCTGTTATTGTTCCCTATGTATGCCCTGTATTTAGTATATGGTTTGAATATCAACAATTGATGTTGTTTCTAATGGTGTGAATGTGGTCTTTATATCTCCTCCATCTGGCCAGTGCCATATAGCCTCACCACAGACCACATAGAGAACACAGTTTCCAATAATTCCTCTATTGCTGCAAGCGTATCCATTGCCGCGAACACCTGTATATTGAACCGTTGCCTAGCGACGGCCGTCTTTCTGGCTCCATTATTCCGCCTCTCAGGTGTCATGTCAGAATATTATTAACACCAGATAACTGTGTTGAGGATATTGTAAGAATTAAATAGGGAAATAAGTTCCTCTTGACTTAAACACATGTCAGTAGCAACAAAATTAACAGTTTTCATGGAGTGTCTCACTAAGAAGAACATCTTTTGTTTTTATCAATTCTTCTATGGTACACTGTCTGGGAGAAATAGAGTGGACAGACAGACATACATAGAGATGGATGAACAGACAAATGACAGCCAGATAGGCAGAATGATGGATAGGCAAAAGAAAAGTTGGACAGGAAGGTGGAGAGATGGGCAGACAGACTGAAAGACGGATAGACAGACAAAGGAAATTATATATATAGATTCTACCTGAAAGGTGATTTTCAAACTGTTAACTCTATAGTGTTTTAGGAAATATTATGTACACCAGTGTAAGTAATATTTCTTTCAAGTAGCAATTTATTCTTGTAGTGCTAAAAGCCCATTCTGATGAAGCAGAAAAGTTATACAGTACACAGTCCTCTGAAGATGAACTATTACCAGTAAGATAGGATACATCTTTAACATCTGGCACTTCCATGAAATCTTTGGATTCTCGTTTCTTCAGTTCTGGACTCTGGTACATGGAAACTTCAATCTTTGGAATGGGCAGAGAATTGCTACGTTTCCTTGGCTGTTGTTGAGTTGAAGCGTCCTCATTAATCTCACGTAACCTGAAAATAGATACTACATAACTGGTTGGAATATTTCCCATGTAAGGTTTGTAGTCAAAAAAAAAATTACATTCACAAAGGAAGTAAGGGAAAACTGTTATTAAATCTGGGAAATGCTTGCTATCATTGCATCTCAAAACCCAAAGATAAAACTATAATTTTATGTTTTGAATTGGCATAAAATTTGGTCTTTTGCCTTGCAAGAAAAATACAAATTGCAGGTTCTTGAGAAAAGGATATTAAGGAAAATATTTTGATCTCTGATGTCCACTAACAATTTGTCACTACCAACAAAGCTGTGAAGCAAATAGCTAGATGACTGGAGCACATACAGGGGAACAAGATGGAAGAGATGTGAGAGGTCTTGGTCCATACTGATGGCCTAGTGGAGGACAGCAGAAATAAGAGCAGGATGGAAAATACTATTTCATATGAAGAGCTTGATAATTTGTATTCCTTAACAAATATTGCATATTATTATGTTAAGCAAATTAAGGACAATATTTGGGAGGGGTATGTAGCACAATGCCAGATTTTAGTTGGAAAACCTGAAAGAATCCATGGATATAAAGATAGCATTACAATGATTCTTAACTAAACATGCATATGTTATGAGGGTATGAACAAGACTTATGTGGCTGAGAACAGGGTTTGGCAGCAGGAGCTTGTGCACATGGTAAAGAAGCTTCAAATTAAATGAAACATAGGGATTATTTGGCTATATGAGTGACTGTTAGCTTAGGACCTCACTCCGTGGATATAGTTAACAAGTTCTGGATAATTAAAATCCTGAATTCCAATCCATCAAGTACAAACGATTCTTTTATATTCACAAAAATCAACAAAATGAACAGAATTAATGAATATGCTCTATTAACAAGTTTATACTGCATATGCCTCCCAAACTTAGGGCAGTAGATCAGAAACACCTGGAAAGCTTCGAAATGTGGTGTTGGAGAAGGATGGAGAAGATCAGTTGGACCAATTATGTGAGAAATGAAGAAGTGTTATTTAGAGTCAGTGAGCGGAAGAATATCCTACATGAAATAAGAAAACGGAAGGCTAATTGGATTGGTCATATCTTACGCGGTAACTGCCTTCTAAAAGAAGTTATTGAAGGAAAGACAGAGGGGCGGATAGAGTGACCAGAAGACGAGGAAGAAGAAGACGTAAGAAGATGCTGGATGACCTTGGGGACAGAAGAGGATATTTTCATTTGAAGGAGAAAGCTCTAGATCACATCAAGTGGAGGAACTGTTTTGGAAGAGACTGTGGACCTGTCGTCTTGACAGATTACAGATGAATGAATGAATGAATGAATGAATGAATGCGTCCAAATTTAAATGTAAAGTGACTCAGCAAATTCTAAAACATTCATGCAACATAAACTCTCATAATTATGGTGTGACTTCAAACATATCTGCTTGATGCTGAAGTAAGAATATTAAATTCAAACAGTCTGTGTAATTCAATGAGAGGATTCCTTCTACATTCAGTATCTTTTATCATAACTGGCCGTGCAGCAAATGGCAGGAAGCAACTTAGCCTATTAATAATCCTCTCACTGCAAGGGTTTTGCTACAGGCCATGCAAAAATTTGCCTGGAACCTTTGTCAAAATTGAATACTAAAAAGACCTCTGACCACAAAACAGAAACAGTGTGAAGGTCACCAGATAACTTAATCTACTTGGATGAAATGTTAGCTTTGTATCAAAATGAAACAAGTTATAACATCTGTCTTTGTGTTTTGTTTCATGCCACTGATGGGCAATATCGGTTACTATTCACTCGTCATTTTCATTTATTCATACTACATGTTTTGGCCTAACTGTAAGTGCATTACAGTGAAGAGTAGAGTCCTTACTCACAACATGCTATACAGCTGAAGACCGTCAGGCTGAAACATGTAATGTCAATAAAGGAAAATGACGCGTGAATAGTGACCAACGTTGCACACAGACAGTATAAAAGCAAAACTCAAAGTCAGATCTTTGCAGTGCAACAGGACATTGCAATATAAGATTATGAAATTGTAACATGCTCTGGCATGCCTCTGGATGTTGTATAGGTAGTTTCAGCACAGTGACTTGGTCACAATGTAAATCAACCTACTCTCATGCAAACATAGATTTTGTGAGTTTAGATCACTGCTCCATCATTAAATTCCTCATAAGGAGGGGGAATGGACCAAAGGTTGCTCATGAATGGCTGTTGTCTGTGTATGGCAATGCTGCACCTTCAAAATACCAGCAGAACATTCGTGTAAGCATGTGAAGATGACCGGCAGAAGTGGCCACTCCAGAAATATGCCAAAAATTGAGGACCTTGGCATGCAAGACAAGTGTTTGAAGTTGTCGTCTCCAGCATCCACACTGTTGGATCTATCTGATTAGGCCATCTTACATTATCATCTGGGCATGTCAAAGACCAGTTCTCACTGGAATACAATACTATGTTCAGAAGTAATGCAGGGTTCCATTTTGGGGGAATTCTGCAATAGATCCAGAAACCTGTCTCTTAAAAATCATTACCACTGATGAAGTTTTGAACCAACAGGGAAACAAAGCAGAGTTCATGAAATGAAAACATTGTGGTTCACCCACTGACAAGACATTTCAGACACTACCACTATCTGGAAAGATTATGGTCACTGTGATCTAAGATGTGGAGGGAGATATACTGCAAGTTACATGCCAAACCAAGCAACAATTACTGGAGATGCCTATGTTGCACTGTTTCATGATTTAAAGACCATAAATATAAACAATGCATCATGTTTCTTCATTGCTTCTGTATTCAATTAAAGAAAAGCAATCACTGACACCAGGCATGGCCTTCTGTGATTATTTCATTTTGAAACCTGAATAAACACTTGAATGAAAAATGGGTTTCAAGTGATGATGAAATATCAGGTCTCAGAAGCAAGGCAAAGGCTCCTGTTTTTCGAGGGATTTCTTCTCTGCCAATGAAGTATATTAGGGTGTTAAACTCAATACTGTACTGTGAAACACTGAACACATGTTTATTCTGTCTCAGATACTACATGGTTAGGTAGATTATATATCCAGTGTCCCTCATAAGACTTCATGGTCAATTAAAAGTGTTCTAAAAGGTTATGCAATTCCTAAACTTATATATGGAATTAAATGCAACAGATAATCAAACTCATATATATGGGTAGATCAGATTGCAGCACACATAGCAAAACTGACTTCAGCAGATCAACTGGCTGATTGCCAGAGAGGGGACTGACCTACTGCCATGGATTTATCTAAAAGGAAAATATGAGTAACTGAAGATAGGTAAATAATTGCCACACCTGAAACCAGATATTTCATAAAAACTAAATGAACACAATGAGTTTTATTTCAAGTAACAAGCACATCTATTAAATCAATATTTTTAATGTAAAGGGTTAGCCTAAAAGAAATAGACACTTTCAAAGTTTTACAGAAAGAAGAGTTTTAATAGCATGGCCGAGATACTTACATAGTTTGAAAAGTAGGCCCTGAAGTTTACATGGGTAAGTTTTCTATATGTGACCCTTTTGTAACATGACAAAAGGTTGCCTGTACAAGGAGAAAACTTACACATGCAACCCAAAAAAGTCGACAACACATGCAAGTTTAGAACTTCAAGTACCACAAAAGACTTTGGAATATCTTGCGTAAACATTCATGAATGTTCCCCTTACCAGTTGCAATTATTGCAGAACCTCACTGAAAATGACAAAATCCTCTGTCACTCATTCTGTATGGACATGCAGCAATGGAATGAAGGAAGTAATGATTTCTTTAACTGGCTAGTTTTCGGTGACAAATCAACATTCCACATTAGTGGTACTGAGAACAAACAAAACGTTCATATATGGGGAACTGAAAACCCAAGAGCTGTAGTAGAACATTTGAGGGATTCACCTAAAGTGAACGTTTTTTGTGCTGTATCCCACAAAAAGGTGTACGGACCATTCTTTTTCCACGAAAAAACAGTGCATGGAATAACCTACCTAGACATGATACATTAGTGGCTGATGCCCCAGCTACAAGAAGACAATGACAAGTTCATATCTGTCTAAGATGGCGCTCCGCCACACTGGCAACTTGAAGTTAGAAATTACCTGGACGAAATATTGCCTCGGCGTTGGATTGGATGTCCAACCACCCAGAAATATGACTTTTACATGTTGGCCAATAAGAAGTCTGGATTTAACACCCTGCGACTACTTCTTATGGGGCTACATAAAGGAGAGAGTTTATTATAAAAGATAAAGCAACTCCATCTAGTGTGACTGTTGAAGTTTTGCTTTTGTTAGTGTGACAGACCAGAATGAAACAAATCAAAGACAGAGTTTATGTTCCTCCCCTCCCTTCAAGTGTGGAGGATATTAAACAATGCATCACAGTAGCTGCTGCAACTGTTGACGTGGGCATGCTGAGAGGCATTTGGGAAGAACTACACTATCGCATTTATATTTGTCATGTTATAAAAGGGTCACTTGTAACTTACCCATGTAAACTTCAGGGCCTACTTTTCAAAACATGTAAGTATCTCAGCTATTAAAACCCTTCTTTCTGTAAAACTCTGAAAGTGTCTATTTCTTCTAGGCTAATCCTGTATATTACAGAAAATTTTCCGTTCCTGCACAGCGATTAGCAAAATTCAACCAGCNTCCGAAACGTCGGTTAACACCTCATATATATGGTGCCAAATCCCAGAAGACTGCTTTCTTCAAATGGTATTTAGTATGACAGTTTCTCTCTGTACATCACAGGGGGGGTCTGTGGCTGTGCCTGTCTGAGTCAGTCTGTGCGTCTCCATCAGCATGAGGGCCTATGTCTGCCTGGATATGTGTTTGTCTCTCTGTATCTGCATCTTTGTGTCAGTCTTTGTCTCTGAGTGCATGTCTGTGTGTGTCTGTATGTTTGTGTGTCTTGTCTGTGTGCCTGTTTCTGTGTCTGTGTCTCTGTATGTATCTTTTGTTTGTCTGTCTGTATCTGTCTATGACTCTCTAGGGCTGTCAGCCTATGTCTGTGTGTGTGTGTCTGTCTCTCTGTCCCTGTCTGTGTTTGTGTACAGAATACTCAGCTGTTCATGGTAAAGTTTTTACATGCATGCATCCTATGTACTTCCAACTAACATACGACATCCATATCTGTCAGGCGATTAATATTATGAAATGTCAATTGCTTAAATGCAGGTTTAAGTTGTGATGTAACTCTGCATCAGACAGTTATCACGGTTCACTTTACTTCTATATATTTATCAGAAGTATTATTTTTCAGTTTTTATTTAGATATTTCTAATTTATTTGTCAAAAACATAGTTCAAAGGTAATCTACAACTCAAAAGTTTAGTCTATGAGCTTATAACTAAACAGGAAACAGGAAAGAACTTACCTGTGGTAATAAAACTGAAGAGCCCAATACACACCCTCTTCCTGCCATTGGGAAATAAAAAGGCATCGCAAAACAGCCACATCTAGAAATGTAGCTGCACATATATCCATAATTCCGGTACCAGTCCCATGATTATTTGCTTGTGGTTTTAGAGCACTTATACCTTCATGCTGTTTATTGCTGCCTACTGAGTCCTTATCTGTAGAGGACCTAAAGTGGACAATATCCAATGCTCATATAAAAATGTTCAACAGAATTGTCAGATAAGGTAAATTTTAGTGTTAAGTGGATCCCTTGCCAGCATAATAACGTGCATTTTTTGGTTGTGGATACAGAAGGGGGTAGCACCCACATGAGGAAAGCAGCTGAAGATACTCTGAGTATGCAATCTCGGACAAATGGCAATGAGCACTCTTCCAGCTGGCAGTTTCAGATTATTTATTTGCCTGCATTTTATTTAATGACAATATCACTTACTCAAATGATTGAATAATAGTGAATAATTAACTGGAGACTAATGTGGAAGGAAACAGTGTCACCCTAAGATACTATCTCAGCATTTTCATGGAGGACTTGAGGAAAACCATGAAAAACCTCAGAATATTCAGTGTTCCTGCTGAGGTTCACACTAAGCACCTCTTGAATAGAATTAGGAATAATTACTACTTGAGCTAACTTTTTCCGTACCCATGGTTTGGATGGGAGCTAACACCCACTTACTGCAAAATGCCTTAAAAACTGCATACATGAATATCCATGTTTATACACATTTTATTCTTTATCTATGATATATAAATAATATAAATACATCAGGCAGTCATTTACAGTGTATCCAGCAGGTATCTTCTATACGTATATTGAGACATGGCGCCCACAAGCCGGGATAGTGAAATCAGAGGAGACATCCAATGCTAGGCAACCACGTGGTAAACACATTCACTTGGCAATGAATATGCAAGCAACAATTGAATAAAATACGTTGCTATATAATGGCGCGACGGCATGCAGTAGTGTAGTTAGTTGAGGCACTCTGCTACAAGCCAGAAGGTTGTGGGATCTAATCCCAATGAGGTTACTGGATTTTTCAATTGACTTAATCTTTCCAGCAGCTCTACAGCCCTGGGGTTCACTCAGCCTCTAACAGAAATGAATACCACGAATTTTCCTGGGGAGTAAAGGCGACCCGCGCATAAGGCTGACAACCTTACCACCATCTATAAGCCAACTGTCTAGAAGATGTGGGAACCTCGACCTCTCATGCCCCTATGGGTCTTCACGGCTTGTTACAGGAACAGCTTTACCTTTCTTATGCAATGGCGCTGTAAACACGGCTTCTCCGGAATTGAGAGCTTGTGTATTCTGTGCAGTCAATGCCGAGTGGTTATAAAAAGGACGAGTAACTTTGAATCTGACTAACCCGCGTGGAGAGCCGCATCATAGCTCAAGCGGTTAGTCACTGGCTTCCCACCACAGCGGCCCAGGTTCAATCCCGAGTCTGGTCAAGTGGGATTTGTGGTGGACAAAGTGGCACTGGGGCAGGTTTTCTCCAAGTACTTTGGTTTCCCCTGCCAATCTTCATTCCACCAACTGCTCCACAATCACCCTCACCTATCATCTGGGGCTGGTACAATAGGCCAGAAGTGGCCACAGTACAAGGGACTTAGTCCCATCACACTAGAAATAAAAAAAAAACCATGTGGAAGTGTGGTGGAATACCTCCACCGTGACCCTGCGAGTCATAAGTGACGAAAAGGAAGTTTCAAATCTGAGCCAGTAAAATATGTCCAAAGGGACATGGACCCAAGAAAGACTGCGCTGGCAAGGGCCAGCAGCATATACAAAAGATAGACCCATCCTCTCATCAGGGCACCCACAAAACAAGCCCATAACTGTGAAACAGTAATAAATATATGGACATGAGCACCAGATGGGGCTCGACACCAAGACTTACTGACTGACTGTCAGTCACAATGTGACTTTGACTTTGACTTTAAGTTAGTTGAGTTTCAACACAGCAGCCTGCCAGGATATGAGCTTGGGAGCAGAAGAATTAGAATTTAGTTCAGTCCAGAGTTCGCAGTTTCAGTAGGGAACTGACCGACATGGCAGTCGAAGGTGGCTGAGAAGTAATGACAAGAAGGGAATTAGGCTGTGCAAAGAAGACTTCATGCGTACTGCAGTGACAGTGAGACTGTAATAAATCCATTGCCAAGATACAACTAATGAAGACTGAGAACCCTAGTGCATGCGTAAAGGTAAAGTGTAAGGTAGAAGGTAAAGTGTCGAAATAGCGGTAGCTCTGTGATTGCCTGTAGTTCAGAGCTGATTGTATAAAGTGTCTATAAATCCAATTATCCAATCCAAAACCTGTCTATAAATCAGGTACAACCCTAACATGTGACTATACATGCATGAATCAGATTTTTAACTACATTAATTTCCTGAATACAGGCAGCACTTAATGTCATGAATATGACACTTAAATNGAGGAACGTATCGCCTCCATCTTCAGAGCAGGTGAATGGCTTGGAATGCAGAGAGCAGTAGCTGTGGTGATAGGAAGTGAAAGGTGCTGTTTATAGACGAAGTAGGCAGGGGGGTTGGTTAGGGAGAGCGGACCAATAGGAGCAGTGGAGAGCGATTAAGGCCATCCGAATAACATGAACAAAGAAACAGGGTTCAGTCTCAACAAATCATGGAAGCCTCTCATCTCTTCCCTCAAGAGAAATCCAACAAGCCACACCAGTTCTTCGTCATGTCACTGATGTCAGTAGCCTGTCCCCTGTAATCATGTCATTGATGTCAGTAGCCTGTCCCCAACCAACCGGTTCTTCTTGTCTACCGCAACTTCCTAGTGCTATTGACCTCAAGTTTCCTGGATTCACTGGCCGTCCTCCCCCCTCTTAGCACATAACACCATATATGGCCTTAATCACTCTCCACTGCTCCTATTGGTGCGCTCTCCCTAACCACCCCCCTGCCTACTTCGTATATAAGCAGCGCCTTTCACTTCCTATCACTACAGCTACTGCTCTCTGCATTCCAAGCCATTCACCTGCTCTGAAGATGGAGGCGATACGTTCCTCCGAAACGTCGGCCAAAACAAAGAATACACGGCGCCTAAACCCAGAAGACGACTTTCTTCAACAAAAAGCTGTCTTATTTTCAAGTATTCCGACTATTGCACATAATAACGTAAGTGCATAGAATATTTCTTTCATTTCAAAAGCATATAATTTTGACGGTGCAGCTTATATTCAACGGAGACTTACATGCGGGGAAATATGGCATACAGTTATTTTGCTTAGTATTACAAATTAAAACTGTAACTGTTGCCATAGTTCTCTCTCCTTCTTCCTGGGTGTACAGTCTGAGAGTGGTTCTTGTAATTCTGATGATGGGTTGACATGGTAGGAGGTTCCAGGACTGGGAAGCTGACCACAGTTCCTAAATCCAGGACCTTCTACCATCCTGACCCACTGTCAAAATTACAGGAACAATTCTCTGAATGCTACACGCAGAGAGATGAATAGAAATGGATGGGAACATAACTCTCATTCAGTTCATAAATATTTCACAACTAGTATTATATCACTCAATAGTTATTTTTCTAAAGTGTAAACAGTCTTACCCCATTTTTTGTATTGGTGCTGGCTTCGTACGAAGCTGCTTCGTGTCTGAACCAGAGATAGCAGTAACTTGTTCAATAGTCAGTGTCGATTTGGTTAAAGTGTCATTACGACCCATAGCTACATGAAAAATGCTGGTGTCTGCCTAAAATTTGAAAACAAACTAATCTGTACAACTCAGAAAATTAAATCTGTATTTTCGGTCCAGCAAAAAATTAATATATTAAATAAAACAGCACTATTAATTAAGGCAGTTTGAAAATTATACCATTCACCTGCTATACTTACTATATAGTTAACATTTTGAGAGGAACGATGAACATAGTGCACAGTGCATATCCTATTTACATAAAGGTAACACTTAAAGTTGGGCAGGATGAAGCAGAATTTCATCCTGCCATTCAAGTGGGCCTTCAAAGCAAGACCTGAGGTCATTATAATGCTTCTATAACTTTTTAGGGTTAAAATTAGCCTTACACTCATTCTTCCTTATATCTGCGAAAACAAAGTTGGTATATGAAGTGACTATGGAAAGAAGTACAATTAATAGTCATGCAATTATTTTCTAAATGCTCCATCTCTTTAAGAATCTGCCTCTGTGACAATCAAGTACTTATTTTTATACATTATTTACTGCTAATCATAGCTCAGACTATACAGTACTGAGTGGAAGGATTACTAGTGAAAGTTGAATTGGAAAAGGTGTGGAATAAACAACCTTGGCCCAATTTCAAGTACTATTCCAGTATCCTTTCTTTGTGAGTAAAACCATAAGAGCCCTTAGTCAGGATACTCGATGTTCTAGCAAAGATTCAAAGCAGTCACCTTCCTAATGAAAGTCAGGCACATTACCGCTTTAGCCAACTTCCTCATTTTAAGAACGTGTTGAATGTGATAAGTCAGAACAATAAAACTAATTATGACTTAAAATTAACAGCTCAATTCTTCCTGCAAGAATTGCAGGTAACCACAATGACTTTCACTCGGACAGCCATGTCCCAGCCGAGATTCGAAGTGGGGACCTCTCAAATACAAGCCAATTTACTCAGTTCCTGACAATCTTGCTAAAAAGTTTCCCCAACAGAAAACAAAATAAAAACTATGAAGAAAGCCGTCTTCTGGGATGTGGCACCGTGTAG